ATTATATTAATATTATATCGTAGATAATTATTCTATAAAAACACATTAAGATATTTGTGATTAGCGATTATGTCTTGAATAATTTTAAAATTGAAAGAAAAAAAAATTGTCACAATCGATATCAGATCTATTTCTCAATGTTTATTTTAAATTATTTAACGTTTCGATGATCAATAAAATTTAATCGAAATAAACATTCCAAATGAGATAATCAGATTTAAAAACGTTTAAAATTTTTTTTAAAAATAGCTACTCGAAATAAGCAATAATTAGTTATTCAATATCTAGACTGTCTATACATAGGGTAGTCAAAAATTCTGCAATTTTCAAATATTCATTCATAGAGAAAACGTTTTGTTAATCTTTTTACAGTAAATGTTCGAAGTAGTTCCCGTGATGTTAGGGGTGCAACAAACCCAAAGCCTTGGGATTTGGTACAAAAAGATTTGGGTTTGGTCTTAAATTACCCAAATATGACGAGGCTTTGTACAACAAAGTCCCAGAAGGGAGAAAAGAATCCCAAGTCTTATAAATTAATATGAAATGGATTGGATTTGGTATAGATTTGGGTTTTGGGAGTTGGATTTGGATTTGAGATTTGAGATTTGGGTAGGATCTGGGTTTGGGATTTGGATTTGGCGATTGAGATTTGGTTTCAATTTAACAACACTACAAAGTTGGAGTCATGTTAGATTGAAACCAAATCTCAAGTCCAAATCCAAATCTAAGACCCAAACTCAAATCCAAATCCCAAATTTCAAGCATATCACCAATTTTGAATCCAAAATCTCAGCCAAACAAAGCGATAGCAGCAATCCTGAGATTCAAATCTAGATGAAATCCACATCTAGGAACTGAATCCGAACCATACCCAAATTCAGAAACCAAATCCAAATCCAAGTTCAAATCTCAAAGATTTCGTACCAAATCCCAAATCTATTCAAGATTTGTTGCACCCCTACGTGATGTCCAATACAAAGTGTCATCATTTCAATCCATTTCTGAAATGTCTTTTGGTATTCATGAATATATATTGAATTGAGCTTCTTGAATAACGCTTTAGCTAATCTGGATATGTATCAAGGCTACCTTTCAGATAACTGAACAACCAAAAATCTGAAGGAGCAAGGTCAGCTGAGTATGGTCGATGAGCTATAACTTTAGTTTTCCTTCTTGAATATAATTAAGATCAAGATTAATGTTCTACATACGGATTTTTGCATTGTCAAGGTGTATGGCTTTTCTTGATGATGATTTTTTTTGTGTAAATTTTTGACTAATCTTTTTAAACATTCATCACGATAATATATGTAATAAATGTGGCTAAGGTAGTAGCAATATAATCAATACTAATATGTGGATCATCATTCACCAAATCGTTAACTGCATCAATATTTTGTTGAGTGATGGCGGATAACGGACGACCACTTCGAGGAATATCTTTCGAGGATTCTCGCTCGTTCGAAAACCGTTCACTTATCGAGTAACTATACGATATGAAACAACACCCTGTCCATAAGCAATAGTTAATTCATCATTAATTTGTATAGCTGTTAAACCTAATAATTAACCAGTTTTTATATATGAGCGTATGTACTGTTTTTCCATCTGAAAACAGAGGTGTTAAAAAAATTCGTTGATAATTTGCCATAATAGACAGTTGTGAAACATTGTATTGGTATTTTAATACATAAGAGATGTCATTACTAGAATTGGCCAACGTGCAGAATAAAACCAATTAGGATGAAACTTTAGACAGCTGTTTGCAGAACTTTTTGACTACCCTATGTATATTGTTTTATTTCGACTATATCGAATAATATAATAAAGCATCTTCTATTTAAATCAGACATTGACTAGTTATAGGAGACGTTTTTTTTCCTTCATTTATACATTTTTAATTCAAGCTCAATATATTTATTTTATATAGAATATTCGACAAAAATCTCATATAGACACATCTCTTATATTAATCAATCTCACATAAAAAAAAACCTTCCAAAGAACTTAGCAATTACAGACTTGAAAATAGTTCGATAGTAAACACAATTGAGCAAAATTTTGTGAAAAAAGGTTCACTATTGAAAAAACTTGATAAATACCAATTATAGTTAGTGTTATTTTCTAGTTCTATTGATTTCGTAAGGCCTTTTTAGATTTGACAATTATTTCGTTGATTCTGATTGCTCTCTACTTATGGAATATTGAATGAATTCTTCGATAAAGATATATATGAATGATATATTGCATATTTCAATTGTCTGATCATGTATATCTGTTATGTATATGATATTTAACTGAGTATCTAGAAAGAAATTGTCGAAAAAAAAAAGTAATGTTATGTTAGTTTTGGTCGATCTTGTATATTAATTATCAAACGATATATAAAGTTGTCTACAACTAAAAACGAGAATAGAATAAACAAATACAAAGATAATTATTAATAAATAGATGAATGTTTTTTCGTGTTCGGAGCATTTTATTTAAGGCCTCCCCCCCCCCCCCCTCAAAAATTGATCTCAGCCCAGGAAAGTTCAAATGGACTGAAACTTGGAGCATATGTTGGGGCTGAAGTGAGGAGGCTGTGATAAAATTTTCAGCTCGATACCCTGATGTTTGACAGAGATATGAACCAAACAAGGGCCAAAAATAGCTCATTTGGCAATCCATTTTTCTTTGTCCAGGCTCTTTCAATAGATTTAATTTTTTTTTTGTTTGAAAGAGCATCTCAGGATGCAGTGCAGTACAGAGTCCTTTTTTTTTAATTCTTACTTTTTTAGCGAGAAAAGGGAATCACAAGTTCAATGATTCAAAAAACGCGCCAAAAATGGGTGTCTAATTATATAAATGTCTGTGTATATAATAAAAAATAAAGCTTAATTAAAAAAAGGACTCTGTACTCACTATATCTTGACGTGCTCTTTGAAACAAAAAAACAATTAAAATATATTGAATGAGCCTGGACAGAGAAAAATGGATTGCGCGGTTCAGAAAGCCTAAACTGAGAAAAGACGAAAAACATTTTTCGGTTTTTTCGAAATAAGCATATTTTTCAAGAAGACGTTAACGGAAATCGTCAAAAATCTTGTCCAAAACGGGGGTGTCGGCTTGAAAATCATATTGTTTCCGAAAGATCTGAAGACGGGCTATCTTCCCATGCAATTATCTCAATTTCGAAATTTTTGATGAAAACGGACATTTTTTGAGGGGGGGCGGGAGGAGGCCTTAAATAAATTAATAAATAATGATATTTATTTTATTGAATATAGTCAACGTTTGTTTATATTAGATAAAAAAACTCTTTTCTTGTCTGATAAAACTAAGATAAAACGATCAATAGATGGTAATTATAATGAATAATTATATTAGATAAGGATTGTCGATATATATATATATTTGATATAATATTATTCAAACATATCGACAAGAAACTTTTTTTTTATTCTCTGATTATTATTTACTTCAATATAAACAAGAAAAAAAATCAACAACGATTCGGAAAATAATAAATATCAACTAGATTATTTTCAAATATGTTCTTAATTAGCTGAGAATATTTCTATAATAGTTTATTATTGATGGTTGCATCGATCGAACAAGTAAACAAATCAAACAAATATATATTTTGTAGTGAGTTTAAAACAATTATTTACTTAACTATCATAGATAAATATATCGATTTAATTGAAATAAATAGATATTTATTCTAGGATGATCAATCGAGATATTTTATCAAGAATTATACATCAAAGATTTTAAATAATAAAAGACGTTTTTTTCTCTAATTTTGGTCAATAGATTTGAATTTGTTGAACTAAAATCTTTTATTTTCGATTACTCTTGTTAAGATAGATAGAGACTTAATTGTCTTTTACAGTTGATGTTTGCTTGTCTTAACCCATTCGACCCGATGAGATTCACCAGTGGGTCTCACAGTATTTCTCAAGAAACCAAGCAGAAAAGCATTTTCTCTCTTTGTTCTTATGCAATACCTTACACATACGTGCTTTCTGCTATTATGTAGGAATAAAAAGAAGAGAACGATAAATAACCAGTGGAAGATAACGAAAAGGCCATTAAGTCTATTTATTAATAGTTAACTGTCCATGAAAATGGACACTTCGAAAAAATTTTCTAAGAAAACTGAATCGGGTTGAATGGGTTAAGTTGTTTTGGTTTCGATTGACGATTAAAAATTTCATGAAATATAATATGGGTGTGGATGTGGATATACTCTTTCTCGACAGTCACACCCCACATCTACATCCTAAAAATGAGGAAATCAATCAGTAAACAAGGATTTTTAATCAATGCGCATGATTGTGCTGCGCAGAAACAGATCTCTTCAATCTGATCGATTATCGTTATATACGCGATCATTTTGATTTCTGTCGTTTCATTGTGTAACAAGTAAAAATCAATGAATTGGCTCTTGAAAATATTCAAACTAAGAATACTTTTTATTTATCTTCTTGGACTATCCAAAACTGGATATATTTAAATAAAATGATTCACAGAAATTTTTGAACTGGATGTCAATGATGATTTTTGTAGCCAACGCACAGTTGTCAAACATCGAGCGTAATCGTTTATATCTAAATCAAATATTTATTTCATCTGTCTATATCACAAAATCACATTGGGCAGATGATAAAAGTTTATTAAAAATCTCTTAAAATACACTTGATTTGAACTTACCTAGACACATAAATATGATTGAAAAAAAATGCAAACAATTGACATGTTGTCATTGATACTTGAGAAGTTTGTCAATAGACAGAATATTAACTATATAGACTTCAAGCAAAGAAGTGGCTGGAAAAGGGCTCAATTATTAACTAAGTTCAATCAAGTTATATCGTCCATATTTGATAGCTATGACATGGTTTCAAATAGTGATTAATAAATCTATGGGAAAACAAATCAATATATTTAGTCTAGAATAATTGATTATTTAAAATAAAGTCAATCATTTATATCATATTCTTATTGAAGACAAGATGACCGTTGTAGACAAAGCTATAAACACAGAATATTTTCGATCTACTATTGATTGTCGTTGTTGTTTCGGATTAACAGTGAAAGACTTTCTTATATTCATCAGTCAACTTCTTCTTCCCCTCGTAATAGGCATATTCACCGTGGTCATTACACTCGATCAACGAAATGAAAATCGTATTCAACGTTATGAAGATCGACGTCTAGCTGAACAACAACGACAACAAGACTTGAATATATCTCGTCAACAGCGTCTTGAAGATCGTGAATTGGCCAAAGATCAGCGTGAACAAGATTTGAATATTTCACGAGAGCAGCGAGAAGTTGACAAATTGATAGCTGAACAACAACGTCTTCATGATAAACAGCTGGCAGCAGAGAAACGTGAAGCTGATGATCTCAATGCTGCGATTCAACGAAATATGACACGCGATCAACGAATTTATGAAATTAATGTCGAACAAGATAGATATCAGAAAGAGAATGAGAAATATCTTGATGCTCTATTAATGTCTTATTATAATGAGATGGGTGAATTATTGCAAAAAACAAATGAGAAATCATTATCATCGAATTCGATTATTTTCTCATTGGCTCGAGCCAAAACACTGAATGTCATCGAACAAATTGGACCAATTCGAACAGTTCATCTTCTTATGTTTCTGTATGATGCTGGTCAATTATCCGTTGGTGAAAATTCACTAGATTTGACTGAAGCTAATCTCAACGGTATTGATTTACGAAATCAAAGGGGTCTCATTAATATCTCGTTAAAAGGTGCTCATCTCAATAATGCTTCATTTGTTGGTCAAAATCTTTCATATGGAAATTTCAGAAATGCCCACCTTAATCATGCTAATTTTAGTGGATCAATTTGTATTGGTACGATATTTGATGGAGCACGTTTAATTAAAGCTGATTTTTCTCATACTGACATAAGAAATGCTTCGTTCATTCAAGTAGATTTACGACAAGCAACATTTTATAAAACAATCGGTAAAAATTCTCATTTCAAATATGCTCGAATGCAACAAACAAATTTTTCTGATGCTCATTTTGATTTTATTCCATTCAATACACGAGGATTCATTGAGTCAAATTTGGCCGCAAGTGATTTTCGTCGCGCTCATTTAGAACAATCTCAACTTGTTTTTTGTAATATGACACAAATTGATTTTTCTGATGCCAATCTTCGTCGAGCTAATCTAACAGCAAGCTTAATGCCGTATGCTTCATTTGACAATACTGATCTTGGAGGTGCAACCTTATGGGCAACTAATTTGTCTTATGCTAATTTGTCGAACATTCAGTGTTCGGGTACTGTTGGAAATATCTCGGCATGTTACTTACGGCAATCTCTAACACTTGAAAATGCTCAGATGCCAAATCGATCATTTGGACTACCGTCTACAACTCTTCTTTACGGTGAAGGTCAACCACGTTGCCTGTCATCTGTTCTAGGGTGAGTAGAAATATTGGTGAGAGATATATCTATCAATAACATGCATCCATTATTGAAAGTGATACATTTCCGATGGCTGATGATAGTCGATGGGAGATCAAACCGGCCCATTCTGTATTCAATCAGTACCGATTTCTCAATATAAAGTATTTGTAAGTAACTATATTGTCTTATATTTTTTTTTTCACAAATGATCCTCTATTATGTAGAAAATTCAATGCGTGTGTTTTCATGCCTATAAATGTTACTAATCAAGTTGAAATGAATCAACATGTAGATTTAACACCTTATTATGAGCTTGTACACGGCAGACGAGCCAAAGCAACAATTATCTGTCTCGTTGGCTATGATACACGTGTGATTGTTACTCAATATGATGAAAATAAGGAGAAATTGGTTTCTAGTGAGTCGATCCAATTTCGATGGTCAGAATTGCTCAAACCAGCAGCGGCAAGTTTGAAACTTTCCATACAATTTACGAATCCACTCAACTATGATCATTCATGGTGCCAACATGTTGAACTTCATGTCGAACCCGATTTTAAGACACCCGATACTCATCTTCTACATCCATGGGAAACTAATTAACCACTTCTAGACGCTGACTTTTATTCGTATAGTATTTAGTTGCTTCATCTTTGTCTAATCATCTAATTTAGTTATCCATGTTTTAGATATAGTTGAGGGTGTCAGTGTGGGTGTGAGCAGGAGTGTGAAGTGTAGTTTGTGGGGTATGAGTATGCGTATGTGTCGGGGTGAAAGTGAGTGTGAGTGTGTAGAGTAGATACCCACCCACATCCTAAACAATTCATATAGACAATGCTTCGAAAAAGAGTATTTATTTCTAACATTTCTTAATGTGTTGTGTTCCATGAAATTTACAATATTCAACAACAATAACGAAAACAATTAAATAGTTTGTATTTCTAAATTTTTATCATATGAGCAATGAACACTATTGGGAGAATAAGACGTGAATGTGTATTTAATTCATACTCATACCCATAATTCTCTTGAATCAACGAGCCCTCAAATTGATTTTGTGAAACTTTCTAGAGCAATTTTTAATAAAATCTGTTCTTTTGCAGTGTACCGATCATTTGTGATCAATTTCTGTGTTTTTTGTGCTGGAAGAATCCTTGGTTGTTTATCATTCGATTATCTGACAAAAATTGATACACACATTTTTCAAATTCAAGTTTTACAGAAAAATTTCAACGCCATTGAATGAATTTGTAGCTTCCTGAAGATACTTATGGGATAGTTTTTTTTTAATCGATAATACTATGACTGTAGTGAAATGCCTTCCTTAAAATACAACGGTGTGTGATTGTGGCATTACGCTTACTTTGTGCACCATTTTGACTTAAAATGTATACATCCTTTGGTAGTAATTCAAGTGCAATGAAATACACAAGAGTGCAAACCATAATTTGGCAGCGAATATTAAGTATAAGACTGCTACAAAGTATATTGTTAGATTTGGGGTAGGTGGAGGTGTTGGTGAAGATAAGCCTCTTGCAATCACCAACACTTACGTGTACATCCATACTCACCACACCCACCCATACTCACACCCTGGTGGCAGTAAAATAGGAGTTGCTATTATTGTTATGATTGTAACATTAAGTTT